CCCGCTCTTCCTAGTTCAATTAGGTCAATCGAGTGAAGATTACTAATTAAGCAGTGTACTTAGAAGTGTGGCTTTAAGTCATACTAACTGAGTCATACTAACTAACGTACAACTGAGAATTTTAGTTGTTAGCTATGACTTATATATGTATAGCAACATTACTCCGATTAATTTTAATGAGGGTTAACTTTTATCAAGCCCTTTTATTAACTTATTTAACAGACATTGTTATTCGGACACTGATATTTCGTCTATTTCTTTGTATTATTATGATCACTACCATATCTGTGCCAACGTGTACGCTTGATTACATGTGATAGCCTACTCGCATATCTCTAGCTTAAATGTTGATCGCCTAAATATCATGTCATTCTCTTTCCCATGTATATATGTACTCGAATCTTATAAATTACCTTTTAATAGCTTAGCTGCACCTTGATTCGATTTAACTAAAAATTTACCGTTGTATTCGCTCACACGCACATGTTTGCCTCTCTACTCCAAATTCGCTCGATATGCTTATATCTTTGTTATCTGTGCTATCCATTAATAAACTGTAGTCACCGCTTCTTATTACCTTCTAAATTCAAAAACCATTAGGATTTATATGATAATAACGATTATCAAGATGATTGATTAACGAAGATAAACAACTACATATGCACTGAATTTACATTGTAATTCTCTTATTATAATCGTGAAAGCTGAGATCTGTATAATACATAGAGGAAAAATAACTGACAGCAAAGGAATCTTTTATTAATAACATCCAGCTGTTAATCAAATACACTCGTTTACATACAGATATGTATATGTATATTAGATCTTAATGACGTTTGATAATTAGTCAACGATGATGATACATAGTAGGGATATAATGGAAATACTACTGAATTTCACATTGAAGTGAAACAGACGTATGTTACTGAATCAATGCAAATAATGAATGGTAAAATACCATATTGAATGAATATCACATTCACATCATACTAGAAATAAAAATGAAACGAGTGATTCACAGAATAAATATACTACTGAATTAAAGAAAGCATAATCATGACGTTTATTGCATTTTAACATTCAAAATTTCATTTATTATCAAAAGGGGTTTTTGTGGAGATTTCAGTATTTTCATAATTGAAATCATGAGTCAATTGAGGCTAGACCACCATGAAAAACCTGGAAGCACTCGACGGCCGTTTCGTCCTATTATGGGACTCCTTAGCAGTGCACATCCACGATCCTGTCTCGCGAAACTGGTAGTAACAACTCACTGAAGACAATTGGTGAACGGCTGCCCAAACTTCGTGGATTGGTTGAAATTAGATATTAACACCGTTGGATGCTAGCTCAGTGTTCTATCGGTTAAGTGCTCTCGCGCAAGACTGGTAGGTCCTGGGTTCAAATCTCGCGAGGTGGGATCGTGGAGCATAGGCCACCGACCAGCTTTCTCCAACCCACTCTGTCCTGGGCTTCCTTTTCTAGTTCTATCCAGTTCTTGTTCATTCTTCTCATGTCTGTCTCTATTTCTCGGCGTAATGTGTTCTTTGGTCTTCCTCTTCTCCTTTGACCTTCAGGATTCCATGTGAGGGCTTGTCTTGTGACGCAATTAGCTGATTTCCTCAAGGTGTGCCCAATCCACTTCCAGCGCTTCTTCCTGATTTCTTCCTCTGCTGGAATCTGGTTTGTTCTCTCCCACAGTAACTTATTGCTGATAGTGTCTATCCATCGGATCCGAAGTATTTTGCGTAGACAGCTGTTGATGAACACTTGTATCTTCTGGATAATGGCTTTCGTATTTCTCCACGTCTCCGCCCCATACATATCAAATATAAGTCAATATATTTAATATACCGTTAGCAACGGAATCCAGAATGGATATATAGTCTTATTTTGGACCTATCAGCTGGACCTATATACATCCCAGTGTTGATGGTCACACCACGGCTTAAACCCGGTATGTTTCATTCCAAACCCAAATATATTATCACCTGTGTATCTAGATCCAGAGGGACTTAGTTTACCACATCTTTCTTACAAGACTTCTCTTCGCTCTTTTCCAGTCTTCGGAATTATTATTAAATTATTGTGTATTAGTCATTCAGCCTATCTCGTTACTATAGACACCATTCCGTATCAAAAGAACATTGTAATCATTCATAATTCGGAAATGCCAAACCGAAATGTGATTACAACAACCTTGAATAGTACGTCTTTTAGAGTTCGAGTATTTCAGTTTTATAAAACAAATGAAATAAGATAAAACTTTATGTGCTAAAACAGAAAAAAATCATTCATTTGAAAAAAATTACTGAAGATCTGTGCCTACTCAATCTTGTTAATCACCTTTGTTTATCTGATTTATTATTTAATATATTCAATTAGAATGTAACAGGTGAAAAGAAACACATTTAATATTTTTAATTTAATCAGGAAGAGGGTGTTGTGGAGATTATAGTAATTTAATAGTTGAATTCATGGGTCGATTGAAGTTAAAACACCAAGGAAAACTTGGAGGCACTGGCTGGCCATTTCGTCCTAATATGAGACTCCTCAGTAGTGCACACCCATGATCCAAGTCACGGTATTCGAACTCAGGACATATCAGTTTCGCGCGCGAACTCTTAACCTCCAGACAACTGAGCTGGCATCCAGTGGTGTTAATGTCTAACTTCAACCAATCCAAGAAATCATTCCACCGTCCACCATTATCTTCAGCGAGTGACTGCCTCCCTCACAACAGCACTTCCAGGTTTTCCATGATGTTGTAGCTTCAATTGACTCATGAATTCAACTATTAAATTTGTTTATGAGTATATATATATATGGTTTTACTGTTTTTTAGTTATTGATGTTGTATAATTATAACGCATTATTTGAAAAATGATAAATTCTATCTTGAAACAATTGTCTATTTGAATTCACATGGTATTGTTTACTTGAATCTTCCCATTGATGTTTAGGACTGTAATTGATCAGTCTCTTATTGGTGTATGTGCATCCTGTAAGGATTGCTTCGATATTACATTGAGTTATAAACATTATCGGCAAAGATAAATGGTGGTCAGCAATGAAATGCAGGACACGCGTCTTGTCCTATTTGGGATTCATCCGTTGAACGTACCTGCATCCCAGAGTGGTGTTGATAACGCTATGACGTTTTAAGCGATCGGTATTGGGTTGTATGACGGAGTAAATATTAACTCTGGGGTGCAAGCACATCCAACTGATGAGTCCCAAATAGGACGAAACGCGCTTCATGGATTCCATTGTTAGCCACCATCCATCTTTGCTTATAATTGTCTACTTAAAAAAATATATATTTTAATAACGTAACAAGTTATATTCATGGATATGTTTGAATAATTTCTTTTTACATATTAAGAGAATTAAACATAATACAAGTTAATGACTATTAAAGATTGTCTTTTAGGTTGTATCGTATTGAAGTTTGTTACAGGCAATAAATGGACAATAATTAATATTGAGAAAGTTAATATGTAATTTAATGAGAATATGTATTATACTTGACATGTAGACTTAATTGTCTATAATTCGTTAGTTAGTTTTCGATGCACTTACCGAGATTAAAGCGAGAAATACGACCACAAAATGACAGAATTGTCCAACAAGGCATATGAACTATAGACATCATGTGACAACGGATCAAACTTTGATTAATTAATTCGTATTTATCCATAGCACTAAGCTGGATAATTTATTTGGAGTGTACATTAGGAAGTTAAAATGGATTGGCAAGATAACTGATAGGAATGTTGATCCATGGCCATGGGGGATCCTTGAGGTGATTCTAAGATCAGAGGGACAAAATTATCTACTTTCGTTTAATTTTTGGAAGCTGAATAAAACTGGGATTTACAGAAGACTTCAAATTCCATTAAAGGCAAAGATTAGAAGGAAAATTGCTTTGCTTAAACAGTGTACCAAACCTCCGACTGGTGCGATTTTGTGTATTTAGGTCTTCGAAGAGTATGCTACTAAGGGTTACACAGCTAGATCATTTACTTCAGAAGTTTCATACACCATTATTTGTAGTCTAGGAAGTGCACCCCATGAACTAGAAGTATCAGTAAACTAATTAAGACCATTAATCATCTCTGTGACTGAAACATCCACGATATAAACAATGAAAATACTAAATTCACTTGGTATTGTTTGTTTCAATATTCCCATCGATGTGTTAGGACTGCAACTGGTCAGTCTCTAATTAGCATATGTGCATACTGTGCGTATTGCCTCGATATAGCCATCCAGCTGACGAGTCCCAAATAGAACGAAACGCGCGTCCTGGATTCCACTGCTAGCCACTATCCATCTTTGCTTATAATGAAAATACTGTTTCATAAATCATTGATAGTTTAACTTATGTATAATTCTTTATAATTCACTTTTTAAGAGACAATTTATTATAATATTTTCACAAATAAAAGACTGTTCATTTATACATTCGGTCACTTTAAACTTCCATGTTATTGTGCTAAGTGACATTAAAACGGAATAAATACATTCAATATACCATACCATAGTGGGTTTTTTTATTAAGCTTATAAGAAAATAAACAAACAAAGTCGATGAAAATAATATGAAGGTTGTATATATACTACTTATGCCTGTTACTCCTCATAAAGGAGCATAGGCCGCCAACCAACACTTTCCATCCAACCCTATCCAGGGAGGATATATATATATACATGTTTTTTTCAACCAATCAAAATAATATTTGCCTAATTGTAATTTGTAAGCACGTGTGAAATCTGATTGGTTAGTTTATATTTTACGGTTAAAAAAAGTCATGTCATTCTTGTTATGAGTTTACTCATTAATCTTGTAATTTTCAATTTTAAAAAAAAATAGGGAATTACTATGGAAATAAGTAAAGATATATACATATTACCAAGATTAAAATACATTTGTTGAGTCATTTTCTATCATGCAAACAACAACAATAAACTACAATAAATATTGAAGGAAATTACGTAATGATGTTCATGTCCAACCGTCTAGTTTTCTTCAGTAAGTTAATGAACCCCTTTTTTATACACGAGTTTAGTAATCAGTTACTTTTATTCCCCGTTTTTGAGTTTCTATTATTTTAGTTGCCAGGCGTTTTAATTTGATTTCATCAAATGTAGATTATATTATGTAATCATTATTGATTCTTTCATAATCAAGAAAGTTATTTTTTTTTACATTATAATGAATTCACAAATAAAAAAATACCTTAATAAAATGTAGCAGATTCCAACTAGTACAAAATTAATCCATTCAGTAGTTTATCTTTAATTTATCAAAAGAATTATGAAAAGGGGGTTTCGTGGAGATTTTAGTAATTTTATATAGTTGAGATCATGAGTCAATTGAAATTAGATCACCATGGAATACATGGAAGCACTGAACTGTTACCCAAACTTCGTGGATTGGTTGAGGTTAGACATCAACACCGTTGGATGCCGGTCATCTCAGTGGTCTAGAGGTTAAGTGCTCTGGCTCGAGACTGGTAGGTCCTGGATTCGAATCTAGCGAGGTAGGATCGTAAATGCACAGTACTGAGGAGTCCCACAATAGGAAGAAACGGCCATCCAATGCTTTCAGGTTTTCCATGGTAATCTAGCTTCCATTGACTCATGATCTCAACTATATAAAAGGATTATGGTTACTCAATAGTTGGAAAACTAAATTTTAACTTAAATAAGTCATATACCCTTGAGAATAAATCTTCAATTGGTTACTTTTAAATAGTAAAGTCATCCAGTGTTGAATACACTTTTACTGTTTACTATAAATATAACAGTTAACCAATTTATTTTATTTTTAGTTATGCAAAAAGTATCATAATTCCGGTAAACTAAATTAGTTTAATAATAGTGGTAATTTAATTTAGAGTTTAGAGTAGTTCTCATGTTAAAACGGGAACTAATAGAAACTTTTTTTCAAAATCTTTGATAGTATGGTTCATTTTATTGAATTTTTGGATTATTATCAGAATTGGATTGGATGAAGTTAGATATTAACACCACTGGATGCTAGCCTAGTGGTCTAGATGTTAAATGTTCGCACATGAGATCGATAGGTACCTGGGTTCAAATCTCGCGGAATGGGATTGTGAATGCACACTTCCGAGGAGTCCCATGATAGGACGAAACATCCGTTGAATGCTTCTAGGTTTTCTATGGCGGTCTAGCTTTAATTTACTCAACAATAACATTTACTGAAGCTGTAGAATTAGCTGTATTTATATATGAAGTGTTAAATCAATGGCAGTACAAATAAGAAAAAAGAGAAAATACACCACACAGATAATTCAAACTTGAACTTTTCATAACCAACTGAGCGAATGAAATCTCTTATCTCATCATGAGTTTTACATTTCTTGTTTTCTTACTTAATAATCAATTATAATTACTCTATCGCTTCTTGGCTCTCTGAACTAAGATCATGTGTGTGTGTGTGTGCGTAGTAACATTTCTAATAAATATTATTTATTGCTTGTTTTGCCCTGAATGATTTTTTAATTTCATTTTCATATCTGTCAAGTTGACAATTCTGTTACATAATTCTGTTACATAATACTGATGAGTAAACTATTTCGATTTTGAGTTAATATGTAACGTTTTTGTGATATTTGACACTTGGTGACTTGATCCTTTTTTCATTTTTTTTTATAAAAACGAACTAACATATTTGTTAGATCATATTAAATATGATTTAACAGATTCATTAAATGATTCGGTCTAAGAAAGAATGTTCTTCTCTGAATTGGGATAAGTTCTTTGTTAGTGACAACAATGGTTTTCTTTGATGTTTGTAACGTGAACTGATAAATTTTTTATTAATCAAGATAGTAACCGTCTTGGAAAAATCTAACCAGTTTCCTATTAGACGAATAAGTAATATCCCGTCACTGAACTAAATATGAAACCTATTTATACCACAATATTACCTTAAGTTACAAGCATTGCAACTAAAAATGAATAGTGGCCGACGTGAACATCAACTCTGAGATGCAGGTACATCCAGCTGACGAGTCCCAAATAGGATGAAACTCACTTCCTGAATTCCACTACTAGCCACTATCCATCTTTGAATTTATGCTGTTTGAAAAATGAGAAAAAAGTGAATTGAATTCATCACTTTGAGAATGCCAAATGAACTTAAAGTACCTTTTTTTGTACAGAAATTAAAGTTGAGATGAAGAATAGTGACTGTTTCTATGTCATATAAGAGTTTATCGTTATTCTGTCTGTTAATTACTCGAAAGGTAGTATCAGGATCATTATTCATTAGATGGTTCAGAATACAACTTCCTATTGGAAATGTAATGTGAATTGTGATTACTATTTTATTCCAAAAAAATTGTAATGAGTTTTTACAACTAAGTTATTCTCTGATGCTAGTTACTCTTTACATGATAAATAACAATAAAGAACGAAAATTATATATATATATATATAGTCCTAGGCTCCGTTCATGTATATTTGTGTCCTGATTAATTTCTACCAAACATATTTAATTACACGTCGTTCTTTCATAGATCTTAATTAAAGAACCAATAGAAATCAGGAACCACCGAACAGCTGTTTCTTTACATTAAGAGACCCTAACAGCTCGTACTCACGACCCCCCACATTTAGAAATCGAACTAAGGAGCTTCGATTTCACACCACTTGATCCCGGCTCAGCTATCTGGATCAAAAGATCACTGGTTGGATTTCGTGCTTTGGGATTGTAGATACACAAAGCCGAGGAGTTCTATCCTAAGATAAAACGGCTGTCTAGTGCTTGCATGTTTCTCATGGTCATCTGTATTTAGTCGATTCGTGATCTCAAAGAAATTTTATTGGTGTTAGATTATAATTGCTAGACGTCGACTTAAGTACAGTTTAACTTTTGAAAAGCTTATTAGTGGATATAGGATACATAGATTGTTTGGCAGACGCTACACTATCATGAATTGTATATTGAAGAATGCTTTCACCGTGGGAAATATTGGGAAATATTACTCTCTTGGATTTAACTGATATTTTTGACTTACGTTACATTGAAAATAACATGGAATTCAAACGATAAATGAAATCTGTTAGCTACACTGGGCAAGCTTTATAAACTAATAATAATTTAGATAAATGTATATTTACTATCTACTTCACTTTCATAGAAATGATGACAGTACCGAAATGCATTGAAACAGAATTTCAAAATTAATTAAGATCAATCATCAATAGTTTCTCTACATTTAGATCTCCAAGTTTAAATTATCAAATTTATATTCATATCAAAAGGCGGTTATGTGGAGATTTTATTAATTTGATAGTTGAATTCATGAGTCAAATAAAGCTAGACCACCACGGAAAACATGGAAGCACTGGATGGCCATTTCGTCCTGGCACGGGCTCCTCAGTGGTGCGCATCTACGATCCCGCTCTCAACATTCGAACTCAGGACCTATTAGTATCGCGCGCGAACGCTTAACCTCTAGGCGACTGAGTTGGAATCCAGTGGTATTAATGTATAACTTCAAACAATCCACGAAATCCCTCCACCGTCCACCATTGTCTTCAGTGTGTTACTATCTCACAATAGACCTGGTTGAACTTCATTGGTCACTAATTCTCAGTAGAACTCCAGGAGATACCTCTTGAAGCCAGTCACTGGTGAACACATTTCGTATATTGGTTGAAGTTCGACATTAATACTAGTGTATGCCAGCTCAGTCGTCTAGAGGTTAAGAGTTTGCGCGCGAAACTGATGGGTCCTGAGTTCGAATCTCGCGAGGCGGGATCGTGAATGCGCACTACTGAGTAATCCCATACTAGGACGAAATGGCCATCCAGTTCCTCCAAGTTTTCCATAATGGTCTAACTTTAATTAACCTATTAATCAACTATAAAATTTATATTCACTTATATTAAAATCATTGATTATATGCTTAGTTAAAAAGAGTAAAACTTTGATTTGGTTTATAAAAGCGTTTCGCAAATATTTTTCAAAGAAATCAATTAAAACCAATTCGATGACTTCTTGAATGTATATTTCACATTTTTGTACTGAATACATGTTTTTTTTCTAAATGTACCACCTCATAATTTGTATTACTGATCATTTAAGTAGTAAACACTTTATATGATTATCTACTCTTATGTTATTGAATGATTACATAATACTATGCTGGAATGTACTGATCTGTTATAAACACAAGTTCATAAGGTCATGTTAACTGCCTTTAAGGATTGGAATTATATTTAAAATTATGACTATTTATTTTTAAATAAAGCTTGATTGATTTCACTGAACTATAGTAATGTGGTGCGGTCTACTTATATCCATATAAGTAGTATATAGTGATGGTCAGACATAGAATGTATTTTGGCAGAAGATCGATAAGGAATAAACAGGAATGACGCGCAATAGGTATGAAAATGCATGAACAATGAAATCACAGACGATAGACTGATATTTACCGAAGGAATAATCAAGATTGAGACAATTGGTTGATAGTTTGCAAATTAACTGTTTACTGTATGGTTATCAGAATTTAGTGAGATAGTCTGTAATTTTGTGCTTGAATACATTCGATTGTCTGCACTAGTGTTCTGTTCACTACAGTAAAGGGCCACTTACATAATTTTTAATGTTAAGGAAGTGTTATTCATCTTTAATTATTGTCATCAGCACTCAAATTCATTAAGAACCTTTATTATCCACCAAATACAAAGAATTCATGATTATCTCATCTGTTCTCAGAAAATTTTCGTTCAATGTTTGCATTTACATGAATTTAATGACCGGTCAGATTTGTTGTAGTTCCGTATACGGTGTATAAGAAATAAAAATGTAATCAGTCATTCTCAGTATAGGTTTAAAATACCCCGTTGTTGATGTTCTTAAGTGAATTTAATCAGTCTTTGTTGGCTTATGGAAATCTAATGTGGATTATATCAATCTAGATAAGAAAGACTGATTGAATTCAGTTAAGAATATTAACGACGTGATATTTTAAATATATACTAATAATG